TGTTGGCTTTTGTGGTTAAGAAAGGGGGAAAGAGCCATTCAGTTTGATAAAAACAAAAAAAATATTACAAAAGTCTAGACGAAGAAAGGTTTCATGTTTTATCTATTGAATAGACATAGACTAGACGAAGAATAACCAAACATTATTATTTTTTTTCACTTTTTCTAGTACTTTTCTTTGGTTTGTTAATTATGTATTTGAAATTATAAAAATATATTATGCTAGAAAAAGATCAAACAATACAATTGGCAAAATTACAAAGGAAGAAGTAAGGTTATAGAAATTTTGATCATCAATTTAACTCCTAACTTTCCTCACTACCACAAACTTCCTCTAACATTTCCATAAAACCTTTCTTTTTATTTCCTCTCATCGTTGTTGTTGTCGTCGTCATCGAGCTGAATCTATCGTCGCGCAATGATGCTTCTTCGAATCTCGTCCAAAGCTCTTTCTTCAGAGTACTCTCACCCGCTCTTGTTCTGTTTTTCGAGATTACGCTCTCTGCTTGTTTCAACAATGGAGTACTCTCAACCACCACTGACACATTTCCCTCTAAGAGAAAGAAAGAAAGTAAATAATCACAGAATAAAAAACTCAATGAAATGACACAAAAACATCAAACTATTGAAAAACTTACCTTCAGTGTGTTTTGTTTCTGGTTTAATGATTGGAAAAGCAAATGAGGATCCATCCATTGGTTTCTTCTCATTCTCAGGCTCTAGTAACACACATGTTTTCGGAGGAGAAAACCACCAAACCGGCGAGGATTCAAGATCTGTTTTTCTAGTTATTGGAGCATGATGTATTCCCAAAAGCTCGGGATACTTCGAACAGAGATCGTCGGTTTCATCGGTACCAGAGGATCCAGAGCTCTGTAGACCATTGAAAGTACTAGCTCCCAATTCAGACGAGGTAGACTTACAATCCCCTTTCTTTCCCGGTTGAGAAGATTCAGGAATCGGTTTAAGCAGTGCACAAGATTTCGGAGGCGACATCTTCAAGCAAGGGGTCATTAAAAGCTCAGACTCAATACTTCTCCTTAGAACTGGTGAAGACAATGGCTCACTCTCTACCAAATTTTCAGAGTAATCCATGACATGGCCTAAAGAGTTACCAAGTCCTGCGGTTTTCAACGACTCATTACAATCACTTGTTTCTTTGGAAGCTTCGAGCGTTTGATTTGCAGCAGCGTTTGGTAGAATCTTTTTAGACGTCAGCTTAGAGGCATTCTGATGTTTAAGGAATTCAGACTTGCATACAGGTAGTGGTGTCAATAGAAAGAGTTGTCTACCCTTTTCGACGTTATGATCACCACGCCATGACACGAGAGGAGAAGGTGAGACTAACGGCTCAAATTCAGTAGGCTCAGGACTCTCAACATCAAACAA